AGATTTCATTTTTCTAGGATAAATACCTAAGAGTGAGATTGCTGGCTCATATAAAAATGATGTTATATGTGTCATATAAACATACACACATGGGGTGCCTGGGTGGCTCAGTTGCTTAAGTGTCTGCCTTTGGCTCAGGTCATGATCCCAGGGTCCTGGGATCAAAGCCTGAATCGGGCTCCCTGCTCAGGCTGGTGTCTTCTTCTCCCTCTCCCTGTGTGTGAGTACATGCTCTCTCTCTCTCTTTCTCAAATAAACAAGTCTTTAAAACAAAAAACAGTGAAGGAAAGCAGAATTTCCCACCCCAAAATATCGCTTTAAAAAAAAACCAAACATACAAATAAGGATGAGTTTATCTTTGTAAAACACACAAAAACAAAAACCTGCCAAGCTGTTTTCGAGCGTGGCCATACCATTTCACGTTCTCACCAACAATGTGTGTGTGTTTGTGTTGCTCCAGTGTTTGGTATTATCATTTTTTGTTTTTTGTTTGTTTGGTTTTTAGTTTTAGCCATTATATTAGGTGTGCAATGTTATCTTATTCTGTTTTTAATTTGCATTTCTCTAATGGTTAATGCTATCAAACACCTTTTCATGTGCTTTTGTGCCATCTATATATCTTCTTTGGTGAAGTATCTGTTCACATCTTTGGTTCAGTTTTTATTTATTTTTTTACTGTTGAGTTTTGAGAGTTCTTTTTTGGTTTTGAGTGTAGGTCCTTTTGGGAATATACGACTTGCAAATATTTTCTTCTAGATTGTAGCATATGTTTTCATTGTTTTAGCAGTGTCCTTTGCAGAGTAAAAGTTTTTAAATTGGTAAAGTTTAATCTATCAGTTTCTCGTTTTGTGGTTTATGCTTTGGATATCATATCTAAGAACTCTTGGCCAAACCAGAGTCACACAAGATTTTTCTCCCTTAGTTTCTTCTAAAAGTTTTATCGTTTATGTTTTACATTTAGATGTATAACAGTTTTGAATTAGTTTTCGTATAGGAGTGAAATTTAGGTCAAGGTCCTTTTTTTGTTGTTTTTTTTGCATATAGATTAACATTTCTTTTAGACTATGTTAACAACAAATTCTCTTAATTCTCCTTATCAGAGACTGTCTTTATTTCTGAGGGATATTTTTACTGGGATATAGAATTCTAGGTTGAGGGGCACCTGGGTGACTCAGTCGGTTAAGCGTCTGCCTTCAGCTCAGGTCATGATCTCAGGTCCTGGGATCAAGCCCCAAGTCAGACTCCCTGCTCAGCGGGAGTCTGCTTCTCCCTCTCCCTCTGCCCCTCCCCCTCCACGCTCTCTTGTGCTCTCTCTGCTTTCAAATAAATAAATAAACAAATAAAAATAAATAAATAAAATAGAATTCTAGGTTGACATTTTTCTTTTAGTACTTAAAAAGATGTTCTACTGCCTTTAGACCTTCATAGTTTTGATGAGAAACCTCCAGTCATTTGAATGTTTGTTCCCTAATATGTAATCTGGCTGCTTTGAAGACTTTTTCTTTACTTTCAGGTTTTAATTTTCAGTTTTATTATGATATGCCTGGGCATCAATTTCTTTGTGTTTATCCAGTTGGGATGTTCTGAACTTCTTGAACCTATAGATTTATATCTTTCATCCAGTATGGGATGTTTACAGTCATTTTTTTTCTTTACATAGTTTTTCTGGACTGCATTCTTTGTCTTTTTCTTCTGGGATTCAAATCACAGAAATGTTAGGCCATTATTGTCTCACAAATCCATGAAGTTCTCTTTTCTTTCTCTGTCTCTCTTTCTCTTCAGTGCCTTTTCTCCTTCTAGTTCAGGTAGAATGAAAAAAAAATCTAAGAAGCAAAATCCAAAGTATCTCCTCACCTTCTGTCCTGTAGAGACCTCTGAGTCCTGTTCCTCAGACCAGAAAGAGGGTTCTTCTGTAGAAACTCTCCAAATTTGCACCCAGTGTACAGACCTAGGTGTCAGATTTTAGGCTCTCCCTGAGTCTAGGCCAGGAAATATTAGAGCAAATAAATAAAAACAGGAAACTCACCACTGGTTTGGTGTTACTTAGAGTTCCCTGACCAGCCTTATTCTTCTGAGTCCTCAGATAGCTTTTCCACACATTCCGTCCAAGATCCTTAGCTGTTTCAGTGGGAGAGACAGAGTGAAATCTGCTTACTCTCAAAGATTTTCCATCAATAAGCTCATTTGAGAACAGTTTAAAAGTGGAAGATTATTTAGAGAAAATTTTTAAGCAAGTATGGAACAACCAGTGAGGAATGTAAATAAACTAAATTCCTGTTTTTCCCCCATTTCTTTGCCTGTTGCCAGAAACTTTCCTCAAACCAGCCATCTTGTATGTTTTCCAAATTTTGTTTTAAAAATACAGACATTTGGAAATGATTTTTTAAAACATACAGATTTCAAAACCAAGATTATTTTTTTAATTTTTTTAAAAAAGATTTTATTTATGGGGCACCTGGGTGGCTCAGTCGGTTGGGCGGCTGCTTTCGGCTCAGGTCATGATCCCAGGGTCCTGGGATCGAGCCCCACGTCGGGCTCCCTGCTCAGTGGAGAGTCTGCTTCTCCCTCTTCCTCTGCCTGCCTCTCTGCCTACTTGTGCTCTCTCTCTATCTCTCTGTCAAATAAATAAATAAAATCTTTAAAAAAAAAAGATTTTATTTATTTGAGAGAAAGAGCATGTGAGTGGGAGGAGGGGCAGATGGAGAGTGAGAGAATCTCAAGCAGACTCTGCACTGAACACGGAGCTCAGAGCCTGATATGGGGCTCCATTTCACAACCCTGAGATCATGACCTGAGCTGAAACCAAGAGTCAGAGGCTTAACCAACTGAGCCACCCAGGTGCCCTGAAAACCAATGTTATTTTTTTAATATTAGTTTTTGAAGTACTAGAGATATTTTGATGTGCTATATGAACATTTTGATCAAACAAATGTGACTAATGGATCTGAGAATTCATTTTGAATAAAATTTGTAGTTGTTATTGAACAATCCTTATTGAGTTTTAACATAGGTGTTCCTTAAACTTCTCGTCTTTAATCAATTTTTCATTATAAGAATAACAAAACATACAATTAAATTAAACCAATTTACTTAAGGCTGTACAAAGCCATCAATTTTTTTTTTTAAGATTTTTTATTTATTTATTTGAGACAGAGAGAATGAGAGACAGAGAGCATGAGAGGGAGGAGGGTCAGAGGGAGAAGCAGACTCCCTGCCGAGCAGGGAGCCCGATGCGGGACTCGATCCTGGGACTCCAGGATCATGACCTGAGCTGAAGGCAGTCGCTTAACCAACTGAGCCATCCAGGCACCCGCAAAGCCATCAGTTTTTATTATGACTGATTCTTGAGCTTAATCATCTGAATGTGCTGTCTGCCCTACATGCTTATTCAGGAGTCACTTCACAAACAAGAATATCCAAATGGTCAGTGAAAAGGATTGCCACTTCATTAGTTAATAGAGAAAACAAAATCAAACTGTCATGCAGTACCACCAAAATAGCTGAAATGAAAAACATAGACAGTATCAATTATTGGCAAGAATATGGCATAACTGGAATTTTCATACTGTTGTCAGGAGCCTTAATTTGGTATAACCACTTTGGAAAATAGTTCGGCAGTATCTTCTAAAGCTAGTACTAAATGTACTTAGACCTTAGGACTAGCAGCTTCATCCCTTGGTATATATCAAACAGAAACACATACATATGTTCACCAAAAAGAATGTCTGTGAGTGTTCAAAGTGGCCTATTTATATTAGCCAGAAACTAGAAACTAACCAAATGCATATCCGCTCTAGAACAGTTTAATGAATTGTGTGTAGTCACACAGTAGAATATTATACAGAGCTAAGAATGAAGTGCAACTACTTGTAACAACATGAATGAATTTCACAAGCATTATGTTGAACAGAAGAAGTTTGTATCTTGATCTGGGTGTTGGTTTCCTGGGTATATGCACGCTGTGAAAATTCATCCCTGTTATACACTTGGGATTTGTGCAGTTTTCTTTATGTATGTTATATACTCCTGTAAAAATAGTATACTAAATTAATTAGATCTTGATTTTTTGTTTGTTTCTTAAAGATTGGCTTTTAGTATATCTACTTATTGATGGCCCCTTATTGAACTCATTAGATGTAGTAGTTTTTCAGTTGATTCAGTAGAGAGGATCTTTTCATCAGAAAACTAGGATTGGTGTCGGGGCGCCCGGGTGGCTCAGTCGGTTAAACGGCTGCCTTCGGCTCAGGTCATGATCCCAGGGTCTTGGGATCGAGCCCCGCATCAGGCTCCTTGCTCAGTGGGGAGCCTGCTTCTCCCCTGCCTGCCGTTCCCCCCTGCTTGTACTTGCTCTCTGTCTCTTTCTCTCTCTAGCTCTCTCAGTGTCAAATAAATAAATAAATTCTTCAAAAAAAACAAAAAAACTAGGATTGGTGTTATCTTCAGGAGAATAATTTATTTTAATGCCAAAAACATACAGTTGATTTTTAAATAGCCCAAATATCTTTATTTATTTTTAAAGATTTAACTATTTATTTGAGAGAGAGACAGAGACAGAAAGCATGCATGTGGGGGCAGGGGTGGCGGGTTGCAGAGAGAGAGGGAGAGAGAATTTTAAGCAGATCCCCACTGAGCATGGAGCCCAACGCGGGGCTTGATCCCATGACCCTGAGATCATGACCTGAGCTGAAATCAAGTCAGACACTCAACCGACTAAGCCACCCAGGTGCTCTGAAAACAGCCCAAATATCTTTAAAGGAAAAAGTAAGGTGTGCTGCATATAGAGCTCATCTAAGACCTTCCACAGGCCCCTAAACCTGTGCAGTGTGGGAGCCCAGATAGTACTAGAGCAGAGTACCTTTGTGTTGACCCTTTCACACTGTACTTGTAATAAATGTGGGTGCAGGTAAACACTAGTCATATAACATAATTCTGTTTGTCCCTCCCCAGCCCCTCTGTTTTGTTTTAGGGTTTTTTTTAATTATTTGTTTTTGTTTTTGCAGATCTTTTCACAGATGCTGCTGAGACTGAAAAAATGGCCAAAAGTTTAGAAGATTCTGAAGGAGTCTGTTTTGTTCCATCTTTTAGTGGATTGCAGGTATTTTATTTATTTATTTTTTCAGTCAGTGGCAACTACAGACATTTTTCTCCTCATACCCACACTCAAAATTATGTACCTGCTACTCCCTTACCTGAAAATTTGGGAACTGAGCAGTATGAAGGTAAAGGTATGTTCCGGGGCTGAGGAGCTGTGACTTAGCACAAATAGCATGAGAAAGCACAGCACATTCCCCTTAGAGCTCCACCCATGTGGAAATGAGAAGTTGGCAGGTTTGGTATAGAACTTTTACATAAGACTTAGCATTACTTTATCATAACCAAAAGTAGCCATTTCCCAGTGGGGAAAGATATATCCGTATATTGGCATTTTTTACTTAGAGGAAGTGTCCCACTGAGAATTAGAAAAATAATGTTAAGATTACACACACACACACACACACAGGTATATTTTGCAGTTATTTATTAAGTTTCATTAACTTTTAAAAAAAATCAAAATTTCTTTTGGTTAACTGTTGTGGTGGAGTATTGGTTACTTTGCCTAATCAAAAAGTGAACCCAGTAAGAGACTTGGCTTTGTAATATTTAACTTAGTATTTAATTGAAAAATCTGTGATATTGCCTTTGATTTTAGCATATTGTTATAAAGACCTTTAAAAAACTTTTCAGGTATATTATTATGAACAACTTCCTTTTTTTGGAAAGCTTATACTATTCTTTTAATCCTCCTCTAAATATGTTTCCTTTCAAAAAATAAAAATTTCTTTTACTTCTAGTTCATCCCATATTCAAGCAATCAGTTAAAAAAGCCCCAAATTTGAAAGTTCGGATAATATAATGTAGAAACTGATGAAAAAGGATTAGATCAGGGTATTTCAAATCTCTAAAAATATCATATTTCCAATCTAGGCTTTTAATGGACATTATTTTAATATCTGTAATAATTTCCTTCTATATACATTACCTTAAAGGACTAAAAGTTTATAAACTACATAATAGAGATTGCACTGTATCCTTTTTAGGGTGATGTGAGGACTGAATAGTATCCATCCTAGGACAGGGGATGAAGAATATTTGTTGGATTGAGGTTTCAGGAGGAAGCTTGAGATGAATAGTTGTCATCAGCCAAGGTAGGATTTAATTAGGCTACTGTGTATTCTTCCCTTTTTAGAAAAATATGCTCAAGGACTTAGTAGTGACTTTATCTTGGCAGCTCTGTTTTTAACTTCTGCCTCAGTCCGTATGCTTGTAAAAATAATATCAAATATATGAGAAAAAGTATTGCTAAAGCCCAGAAGATTAGACAAAACTCTCAGCAGCTGTGGTTTTTAATTTCATGTTAATAAAAAAATGTCCCCGTCCTGCCATGACTGCAGCTGGCAGTATGTGGGGTTTGGGAGGGGTGGGGGAGGGCTGCAGACCAAGTAGTTCCAATGTAGCACTGAAACAAATGCCTCAGTGGAAACCGAAAGTGAGTTCAGACAATACTGTGTTGATACTAAGCTATTTGAAAAATAGGAGGGAGATCACTGATAAGCGGCCTATGTCAACAACTAAAGAAAATGAGGGATAGGGGAAATGGAGGGAAGGAAGGGTCAAGTATCTGCGATTCTGCCTTTAATTTTAGAATATTGTTATGGCCATAGATAACAGGGGGCAAGATATTAAAAGATCCCAGTAGCCTCCATTTCTCCAGGGAGTCTGCTGAGATGGGGTATCGGGAGCACTTTGAAGAAAGTGGGAAATCTAGGACAACCACTTCAGGATATAGCAAGGGGTGGGCTAGAGCATGGGGGCCATAACCCAGGGGTGGCCGCAGTTGGTGCAGTCATTGTGGCTTCGCTGCGGCAGGGCTGTGGTTTGTGGGCGGGGCTACTAATGGAGAGCATCCACCACAGGCGTCAGAGGCAGGAATCAGTGGCTGGCTGCTTAACTTGAAAGTTACCGTGATGGTGGCAGTGACAGGATGGACAGGACTGTGAACCAAGTGTCAGTTCTCAGAGGATGAGGAGTCGTGCTCCGATGAGGGTTCTTAAGTTTGCAGGGAACAGGCTTGCTTATCCGACCCTGAGAGGAGCTGGTGGTTCACTGGTACTGGAAAGAAGTCGGGCAACTGACTTTGCAGTTCTTAATGTTCTTTGTGGTTTCTTCTCTGTGGGTCTACTTTTCTCATTACCAGCACTGCTCTGTATTCTTTCTTCCTCATAACCTCTACTTAATTGTCATTATTTTCCTCATACTTTCTGCTTCTCCATAATTTGGAAATACACACAACCTTCTTCAACTTTGTGCCTTTTAGCTTCAGTTCCCCCTGTTGAGGGTCTTTTTCTGAGATCATCTTTTCTGAGAAATCTGAGAATCTGACTGGAGTGCCTGGTCTTCTCAAGCATTGGACAGATTTTAAGTTTTAAGTTTTTAGAACTTAAATTTTAAGTTTTAAGAACTTCTCAGAACTGGTTATGGTTTAGGAGAATTTATTTACAGTAGAAGGAAGGATTCAGAAGGCACAGAAAGGGTTATGAAGAGAGTCAGTAGTGGGAAGGGTTTTGGTAAGAAATAATAGGGCGCCTGGGTGGCTCAGTTGGTTAAGCAACTGCCTTCGGCTCAGGTCATGATCCTGGAGTCCCGGGATCGAGTCCCGCATCGGGCTCCCTGCTCGGCAGGGAGTCTGCTTCTCCCTCTGACACTCCTCCCTCTCATGCTCTCTGTATCTCATTCTCTCTGTCTCAAATAAATAAATAAGATCTTAAAAAAAAAAAATTAAAAAAAAAAGAAATAATAGTAATATAAAATTGTAGTGGATTCTTACTCTGTGTCAGGCACTGTTCTAAATGTCATGAATTATCTCATTTAATCCTCAGTAACTCAGTAAGGCAGAAGATACTCTTATCATCCCATTCCAAAGATGAGGAAACTGATTTAGAGCTGTTAAATCACTTGCCTGGTCTCACACTGCTAGTGAGCGGCAGAGCTGGTTTCAGGGCCCAGGTGCTCTGATTCCAGAGTCCAGGTTCTTAACCACTCTGATGTACTGGTTCATGGTATGGCATAAAATATGACACTGGGAATACAAAATAGATGCCAGAGGAGTTTGTGTTTAGGTTCACGGTTGACAGAGGGCAAGAGGAATTAACCATCCTGCAAATCCCCAGCAGATTAGGCTAAAATCCCAGGGGTGACAAGGGCCTGTGGGGGCAAGCAGTCTATGCCTTGGTCATAGGTTAGCTTAGGTTAGCTTAGGCCTCCAAACAAAACTTTACCGAGTCCTGCTGTTCCTGGTTGGTTGATGGTCTGGGAGGCTTACTCACTGGGATTGGCAGTGACAGATTGGAAGTATGGCCGGAGGCTGTCTGCCCTGGCAAGGTGTGACCAGGCCCAAAGGACCTTGCCAGTGTTTTTCCCGCCATATCATCCCAAAGACAGACTCACTTGGACTAACTAATACAGGGGCATTGTAACCAAAAAGAAATTTTTAGGTTTCTTTGGAATTTGTTACCCCTCAAATTGGCCTATTACTAATTAATTGTAAATTATGTGCATAGTTATATTTACAAAAGTGATTTCAGGCCAGTCATACCAGGATTTTACGTGATATATTAGAAGAAAATATTTTTATGCAGAAAATACATAGCACACAACTAGGGACTAAATGAACTGGCTGAATCTGATCTTTGTTTTATGGTATTATACCACCTGAGACAGGCCAGTGTGACTGTATAAATAAGCTTTCACTGAGTGAATCACCAAAACATGTTAATATATTTGAAAACAATCAGGATAAAATCATAATAGGAGGAAAATCACAGCTACAGTAAAGATAAGATGTAATATGGAATTTCTTCAGTTAAGTAATGAGGAAGAGTATTGTTTGTTCATTGATTAAACAAATGTGTGAGGATCCCCCGTGGGGGCCAGATGCAGTGCAAGGCCCTGGAGACACATAAGAATGAGTTCCACAGGGAAGACAGACTTTTAGCAAATGTTCACACAAATATACATGATTATAAATATATTATATAATGCGAAGCTCTAGGGTTCCATAGAAGTAATGATGGTGGCTTGGTCTTGTCTCTGGGATCAGAAGTTTTCCCAGAGGAATCTGAGCCAAGATTTGGAAGGGGAGTAGAATTAACTAGGAGAAGGGGTGGTAGAAAGTTTTCCAGGTAATGAGATGATGTCTCAAGGCCCTGAAGCTAGAAGGTGCTTTTCCTGGGGACCATCATTTTCTGATATAGCACTAGTACTTCCCTCTGTTGCGACCTCATATCATACATTGAAACCATTCTTCTGTCTCTTTCCTTGTGAGATTATGAGCTCTGGCAGGGGTCTTTGCTCTGCATCTTTGTGTCCCAGAATTGTCTTGCATTTCTGGGGATGCAAAGATGAATACAAACTTCATCCGACAGATACATAATTCCAACTCAAGACTTTGGCTCTTTTAAAGACAGAAGTTAGGCTGGATCATTTCTCCTATTAGGCAATAAGACTATTAAGCTAAGGAATAGAAGAGTTTGAATGTTTGACAACAAATTAGGTGTAAGTTATGACCCCGAAAAACACATATTCTGCCTTACAGTTTTTTATCTTATGACTAATGGATATTTTTTAAAAAACACTCTACGAAAACAATTCTGGTTTAAAAACTTCACAGATGGAGAAAAGGGGAAATACTAGGATTGCTTTTCATTTCTTCTTGTAAAGCTAGACATTTAATAGTTTGTTACTGTGTAAAAAATAATAATAATAATTTGTTACTCTTCTCTTTGTGTGAGTTCAGACAGAAGGTATAGCTAAGTCCAATACCTATGACTCAACCTTGCTTAAGTCCTATTAAAGAGTTACCCTAACAGTTGACATTTTTTGAGGCTGTCATTTATTTTAAAACTACTTAACTCTAAGCATTCTTTTTTCCCACCATGGCAATGTCTTTATTGCATAATATGCCTTCAAGTCTATGCATATAATTCAGAACAATAATAAAAATTCTTCCTATCTCTTTCTTTAGGCTCCATTAAATGACCCCTGTGCATGTGCCTCTTTTATGGGTTTGAAGGCTTCCACCAATAAATACCATCTTGTACGAGCAATATTGGAGTCAATAGCTTTCAGGTACCAAAACCTGCCCTAAACTCTCCCTTCCCCATACAGTATTGCCATTTTCTTCTATTAATTTCTGCTAAACTAAATTATGAAATTTATTAATTTTAACTGAGTGTTTATACCTTTAAATTCATACTGTTTATGACATAATCTGCTTTTATTGCTAATTTCCTTAGCATCTCCTTTTTTTTTTTTTTTTTAAGATTTTATTTATTTGTCAGAGAGAGAGAGCATGCACAAGCAGGGAAAGTGGCAGGCAGAGGGAGAAGCAGGCTTCTCACCGAGCAAGGAGCCTGATGTGGGACTCGATCCCAGTACCATGGGCTCATGGCCTGAGCTGAAGGCAGACGCTGAACTGACTGAGCCACCCAGGCGCCCCAGCATCTCTTTTTTATATGTAATAGTACCAGTACCATTTACATTTGATATCTGAAAATAGATGATTTTTAAAAATACAGTTGGCCCTTGAATACCATGGGTTTGAACTGTGCAAGTCCACTTACATGTGAATTTTTTTCAACAGATACGGTACAGTACTGTAAATAAATGTATTTTCTCTTCCTTATGATTTTCTTAATAACATTTTCATTCTCTAGCTTACTTTATTGTAAGAATACAGTATAAAATACATATAACATACAAAATATGTGTTAATTGACTGTTATCAGTAAGACTTCCTGCCAACGGTAAGCTATTAGTAGTTAAGTTTTGGGGGAGTCAAAATTTACACATGGATTTTTGATTTTGTGGTGGGTTAGTATCCCTACTCCCTGTGTTATTCAAGGGTCAACTGTATCTAAGTTCTTAGGCATAAAAGACTTAAAATTTGGACTTTCAGAGATTTTTTTTATCCTTACTGATAAAGGAGACTTTCAAAGGTTTTTGTATCCTTACTGATAAAGGAGAATTCTAATTATTCTAATTAATAATGCTTCCATTATACTCAAAGATTGAATCACCAGAATTACTCTTTTTGTATATTTCCCTGTGGTCTTTACATTATGCCACAGTTGTAGTTTATTAAAATTAAGAATGTGGCTGTCATGAATATGGAACATTTGGAATGTTTAAAGTAAAAATGTGATTACAAAATGATTATTTTTATATTTGATGAATTCTATTAGATGTTATTCATGTCATATCATCTTAATAGCTTTCTATTAAATGAATCCTTGCTTAAATTTTTATTTGTAGGAAGGATAATAGATTAAATTTATTTCTAAATGAAAAATATGCTCCCTTTTATCAAGGTGAAAAGTACAAGGCCCTAAACCTCTTGCTTGTCTGAGCATTTATCATTGGCTTCCAGTTAGCATAATATATTTGAATATATTGGTTTAATGTTCTCTTTTGTATATTTTATAAATACCATATAAATAAAACCATAGTTTTTATTTTTCTAGACTGGAAAAAAATAGAGAATTTTCTCTAAATAGTTATCTTGATTTTTTTACTAGAAACAAACAGTTATATGAGTTGATGCAGAAAGAGATCCATATCCCTGTGACAAAAGTCCGGTATGTAAACTTTGTTTTCAATAGATTTAATCAGAAATTGGAAGTGAGTGGTAACCGCTATTAGTATTTTCATCATTATGATTTTTCAGGATTTAAAAAATAAATTATGCCTAGTTTCTTTGCAACAAAATTCTTGGTCCTAGGAATTTGGAAAGAAAAGGGAAGCTAATTTTGGATTTATGGAGAATATAACACAATATAGAATTTAGGAGGATTCTAATATATGTATGTATATTACAAACATCTTTAAAATCTCTTTTTTGGATGTGTGGCTGTCCTTTTGGCATGGAAGCATCAAATTTTCTTTGCTGGTATGTCCAAATGAATTTTTATGTTGGCTTAGTTTCCTTGGCCTGTTTTGAACTAGTCTTAGGACAAGCAGGGCGGGTGGGAAGATTGATGTTAGGGATAAGGAAAAGTGTTTGAAGATTACCTAGTGAGGACCTTTATCTTCAGGTCAATGGGAAGTGATAGAATTTTGGAATTAAAAAGTTGAACTTAAAAAAATAAAATCAAGAATCTAAAAAAATATATGTGGCCCTTTTAAAAAAATTAATAATGTTTTTACGCTTCTGTTGGAATAATTTATCTCAACTATCTTACTCCCCACAGGGCAGATGGAGGAGTTTGTAAGAACAATTTTGTTATGCAGATGACTTCAGACCTGATTAATGTGAATATAGAGAGACCCATCAACTTAGACATGTCCTGCCTTGGTGCAGCTTTTCTAGCTGGCCTTGCTGTTGGTATGTGTGGATTTTATAAAAGCGAGAACTGTCTCGAAAGCGGTTTCTTGCCAATAGCATTTCCCTTCCCAGATCACAGAATTATAGAGCAGGTCTGGAAAACCTTGGTGTTCATTAAGCTCCATACACATATGCACATAACTCACAAAATACTCCTTTGACCTCCTCTGTGGATGGGTCTTCCCCCCACTCCCTCCCTCCTCACTTCACTCCTTCCGTCAGAATTATGAGGCAAGGAAACTTAATTTTCAACTGCTCTGTCTTCAGCAAAGGGAAAGTCTCTGGGTAAACTTCCTGAGTAGATAGGCTTTTCTTTGGCATTAGAAACCACTCCATTCTTTTACATATTGAAAATTTGTTGAGTACCTGCTATGTGACCGTCACTGCTGGGAATAAAGAGTTTAAAAGACATAGTCCCAGATGAACCATGAGAGACTATGGACTCTGAGAAACAAACTGGGGGTTCTAGAGGGGAGGGGGCTGGGGGGATGGGTTAGCCCGGTGATGGGTAATAAAGAGGGCACGTACTGAATGGAGCACTGGGTGTTATACGCAAACAAGGAATCATGGAACACTACATCAAAAACTAATGATGTAATGTATGGTGATTAACGTAACATAAAAAAAAAAAAAAAAGACATAGTCCCTGTTATGGGAGTCTCTAGTTACAGCCAGACAAGTAAACCAATTATTACACTTGCGTGATAAACCCAGCGAACAGCCATAGCTTTAAGCACATGGTGCAGGCTTCCCAGAGGAGGCTCAGTTTTGAAGGAGTTAGCAGACAGCCAGGAGAGGAGGTAAGGAGTCCTAAGAGGTGAGTGGTCCAATAAAGAAAGCAGCTTGTGCAAATGTCCCGGCCCATTACAGTAAGTGCTGACAGGGGAAGAGCAAGAGGAATGGCTTCAGAGGAACAGAGGTCCAGTTGTGGTAGCCTCCTCATACAGAGGGGTTTGAACTTAATCGTGAAGGCACTGGAGAGCCACTGAAGAATTTTAGGCAGGGGAGGGACATGGATAGATCTATATTTGAACAGACCACTTTGGCAGTTAGTGAGAGGATTAGTTGGGAGGGTGAAGAATGGACTTCAGGAGGCCAATTAGAGGGTTCCCTAGGAAGCAGGATGCTAATGTGGGGTACTGGGATTATTTAATACCTTCCTGTATGGAAGGGAAGAATGTTTGTACAAAACAGGATATTTTGTAGTTAAAAGTTTTAGGCTAATATGTAGCATATTAAAGTTACAAATCCAAAAAGTTTGAAATCTTGTTAAGTTCAACTTAAACTTTATTCTACTAAAAATCTGTTAACTTTGAATAAAATTGAAACAATCACTTTCATTTGTTCATTGATTAATGTGTGATTAATTCAAGTTGAAGAAAATAACTTTCCCTTAAATAATCATTTCCATTTACAAATTTAGTTAAATTCCTTTGTATATTTCAACTAATACACATTTAATACAATTCACTTTCTTTTTAGTAATTTCATATGCCTAACTGAGCAAGCTTAGAAGTGTAACAAAGAAAATCTTCTCAAGTACTTGAACAACTCTTGCAAAATGAATAAATTAAGCTTATATTTGCAGTAAATCAAATGCTCATAAACATTCTGATATTGTTTATAAAGTAAATCAAATTTTTCTATGCCTTTTCGGCTTATAAGACTAAATATGTCAGATTCTCTTGAACATTTTAAATACTTTAAATAACAAACACATACAGATTTTTTTTTTAAGATTTTATTTATTTATTTGACAGAGAGAGCAAGAGAGCACAAGCAGGGGGAGCAGCAGAGGGAGAGGGAGAAGCAGACTCCCTGCTGAACATGGAGCCTGATGCTTGATCCCAGGACCCTGAGATCATGACCTGAGCCAAAGGGAGATGCTTAACCAACTGAGCCACCCAGGCACCCCCATATGACAGATTATTCTTAAACATGACACAGTGGCTTGAGCTTTAGCTATTTCGTCATATCTATACTTAATTTCAAACCTTTCTAATACAAAGAGACTTCACTAACTACAGGGAGCCGTTTTACCATCTCAGAAAAGCTGAGATTTCTGGTTGGCTTGCTTCTCTTTCAGGAATCTGAGACTTGAAGGCTATGCACATCCTCTGTATTTTCAAAATTCACCCAGGAAATGAATCTATCTGATACATACTTAGTAAAATTATTTGAAAAAATTTGTATGTCCTGGGGTGCCTGGGTGGCTCAGTTGGTTAAGCATCTGACTCTTAATGATTTCAGTTCAGGTCATGATTTCAGGGTTGTGAGATCGAGTCCTGTGTTGGGCTCTGTGCTCAGTACAGAGTGCTTAAAATTCTCTCTCTCCTTCTCCCTTTGCCCTTCCCCCAGCTCACATTCTAAATCAGTCAATCTTCAAAAAAAATATATGTTGGGGCGCCTGGGTGACTCAGTGGTTAAGCGTCTCCCTTCAGCTCAGGTCATGATCCCGGGATCCTGGGATCGAGCCCTGCATCGGGCTCCCTGCTCCGTGGGAAGCCTGCTTCTCCCTTTCCCACTCCCCCTGCTTGTGTTCCTTCTCTCGCTGTCTCTCTCTGTCAAAAAATAAATAGAAATCTTTAAAAATATATATGTATGTCTTAAAGAGTAAATAATTCTGGAAATAAGGATTTTAAGAACATGCTTATTTTCATGATTAGACTTATCTAACTTTAGTATACTAATAAAAACTATTTTTAGTCTTTTAATAACTTCTATAAATTAATATCTTTAAATATATAGATAAGTCTAAAATGCTGACTTTGTCAGTTAGAAAGAAAGTGGTCTGATAGAAAATTTGAGAGGAAGGGATTTTGTGTCCGCTTTATTGATAAGAGAAAATATCCTTCAAGAAGACTTGTCAACTGTGTTAGTACTTCAGAGTAAGTGAAATATACCAGGTTAATTAATAAGACACCTCGGCCATTTCAGACTACTTATGTTCATAGTTATAAATGTGTTTTCTTGCTCCTTTTTATTATGAATCACATGATCCTCTTCGTGAAGAACCATATAATCATGAAGTGGGATTTAAATAACTTGTATGAAATACAATAGTTTGAAAAAGAAACTACTTATTATAGTCAGTCCCATTTTTGAATTTATGCATATCCCAGGGAGTTGCCTCTTACCTCAAGATATATGACAAAAATTCTAATTTATCTTTGTTTTTTTTTTTGAAAATATACAATTTCTTACTTGTTTTCTTTTCTTCATAGAAAGTCACGAAATTAAATGATGATAGGGAGAGGTTGGTCTAGAAATGGTTTGGTGCCCTGCCACACAGAAATAAAGCTGATAGAAACCAAATGATTTTAAAATCCTGGTGTATTTATTCCCAGGGATAGTCAATCTAACAAAATTCAAAAGCACTAAAATATTTTAAATTGTGTTTTAAAACAATAGTTCTTTACCTGTGCACCTGTTTGCATAGGTTTGTGGATAAACTTTATGGACTCCTTATCTGCCTTAAAATTTGAGAGTAATTTTTTCTATCTATAGGGTTTTGGACTGACAAGGAGGAACTAAAGAAACTGAGGCAAAGTGAAGTGGTTTTCAAGCCACAAAAGAAATGGCAAGAATATGAAATGAGTATGGAAAACTGGGTCAAAGCAGTGAAACGCTCCATGAATTGGTATAACAAGATGTAGCACTAACTGGAACGACTGAAACCATATACGGCTGGTTGATATGACACGCAGATGAGACACAGCTCAGGGATAATAACCAATACGACAATGACTGAGAAGATTTCAGATGAGCTTTGCAACCTGAGAGAAAAAACATTGCTTTTTTGAATACAAAACAAAACAAAAAATCCCTCATTTTAAAATATAGACCTTGGTAAGATTGTAAGGCAACAGTACCTCAAAACTTTATACCTTCTGTTTTTTAGGAAATTCCAAAGGACGTTAGCCATTTCCAGCCATATTTTGACAGCTGTGGGTCCTCCTCCTTTTTATACTGGGTCAGCGATACATACGGACATAATTGTTTACTATCTGAGTTAATAGTTCTGGGTCAAGCATCATTCATGTTTTGTTCCAAAATTAACAAGTGTTCCTTTAATTCTTTAAAATTAAATGGGCTATCTGAAGTTCGCATAGCTAGAAAGACAGACTCACTGAGGAAATGTGGAATTTTGCAACATTAATATTTTATATTTAAAGCCGTAATTGTTCAATACTATATCCAAATATGAGCTTGATATAGGCTCACATAAGCTTATTGTTAGTCAATTCTTTCCTTTATTGGGCTTAAAGACACTGCCTTAATTTTTCCTTGTTTCACCAAAATCTGAGCATTCTTTTTGTATTGAAAAAATAACTTTAGTGGATGAAACTACAAAGGGTAATGATTCATAAGGAAAAAGAAAATATTTTCTTTCTCAAATATTTGAAAGAAAAGGATTTCTTTCAAAAACTTCTGGCTAAAGTGTTAACATCCCATTTTTTACAAAATGCAGGTAGTGGATATAAATCTTGCTTTGCTCTTCCTGTTCTTTATCTTTGTTGTTGGGGTGCTTGCATAAATGTCTTTTGCTTTTCTTAAGTGCCTAATTGACAGAGTTTAATTTGAAGGAAGTGCCCTAATTCATTGGTGACATAAGAATTGTCTTCATTGGGGTATTTTACTTATCCAGGTATCTTTTTTGGGGGGGGTTTCCTTTTTTTAAATTTTAAGTTCAATTAATTAACAATATAGTGTATTATTAGTTTTAGAGGTAGAGTTCAGTGATTCATCCATTGCATATAACACCCAGTGCTCATTACATCATGTGCCTTCCTTCATGCCCACCACCCAGTCACCCCATCCCCCCCCCACCTCCCCTCCAGCAAGCCTCAGTTTCTTTCCTATGCTTAAGAAGTCTCTTACGGTTTGTCTGCCTCTCTGGTTTCATCTTGTTTTATTCTTCCCAGGTTTTTTGTTTTTTTTTTTTTTACTAACCAGAATCATGCTGTATGTATTGTTCTTTTTTTTTTTTTTTTTAAAGATTTTATTTATTTATTTGACAGAGAGAGACACAGCGAGAGAGGGAACACAAGCAGGGGGAGTGGGAGAGGGAGACACAGGCTTCCCGCTGAGCAGGGAGCCTGATGTGGGGCTCGATCACAGGACCCTGGGATCATGACCTGAGCCGAAGGCAGACGCTTAACTTAACGACTGAGCCACCCAGGCGGCCCTGTATGTATTGTTCTTTGATGTGCTTTTTGGAGATGTTCTCAGCCTAGCACACTCCTTTTATCCATTCTATATTCCACAGAAATAGATGTTTGGGTTGCTTCATTCTGCTGTTATAATTATTCCCACAGCACAGGGGCTGAAATTTGAGGGGAAGAGTGTCAGTTTGAGCCCTTGGCAATCTGAGGTGAAGGCATGTTGACTTAAGCAAAACCAGCCACATCCCTGTCACACATGATGCCATCGGCCTGTGGGTCCCAAATTCACAGTCCAGCCGCCCTCCTGCCCGAGTCAGCATGCATGGTCTGCCATCTGCTAAATGCCAAGTCAACATATCCAGGTATCTTTTACTTCCGTTCAATCTACTCATCTCTGTGAGATAGGAGCAGTGGGTAGCTGACAGAGGTAATGGAAGTGTATTCATGCACATGATTGCCCTATAGTTACTAGGCCAGAGCTCCACAGAGAGGAGCAGGGACAGTTCCACATTCTCAGACTTTCTTGATAGAAACAAATGTAAAAGAATCAAGAGTTGTGAGTAGCTTCAGGCCCCGTGTAAAACTATCCTATGGCAGTAGACTACCCTCCAGCTTGTTCTTATGTTTTTTGCCCCTCCCTCCACTTGGGCTAGGTTCCATTTCAATTTGTAGCAATAATGAATTTATTTCCCTCTTAGTCGGGCTTTATTATATAAAGACCTACTGTTACAGAGCTAGTTGTTAAATGCTAATGAACTTAAAAAGTGACTGTTACAGGGAATTTTGTTGTTGCTATCATATATGTCCATTTCAGTGACAGATATGATAGAATTAGGGGTCACACTGCATTTCTACAAATTCCATTTCGGTGAACTTTGTCTTCTTGAAGTATTAAAATTTTTGATGGAATCATAATAGCCAATATATAGTATCATTAACTCCATTAATTAAGATTTGGAAATATTTTTGTGAAGTGGAGGTATTTTGTTTACTGTAAAAAGTCAGATTCCATTATGTAGATAATATTCTTTTTATTCTCTTCATTTTTCTTATGTCCCTTTTACAAAGCTTAGTGACCAATTGTAGGCCCTTTTATCAAAATCAGATCACACGTAAGCTGCTCCGTTGTTTTACTGTTTCTTACAGATTCGCTTCTCAGTGGGTATAATTTCATAGGAAAGAACTGTCTCTTTGTGTTAGGATATACTGAATTGTAATATTATTAATACGTAAGAATTTGTTAGCTCATTTCTTTTTCATATTCTTCTCTCTCATCATCAACCACAAAATAAAGGATAAATACCTTTTAGATAATGTGAGAAAGTAACTGTGAACATGTCTCATCGGAATTGAGCATCTCCTCAAAAATCAGTGGCTGATTTTTTCTTCTGTTAGTCTAGAATTAATCTTTTATTTTTACTACTTCTGGCTGTTTTTTAGTGACACAGTTTAGTAAATCTTTTGCCAGATTTGACCTAAATCAGAAACGTGACCACATTTGCTTTTGTGGTTGTAGAAACAGTTGACATTCAAAGTCAGTTGAGCAAAAAAATTTATCCTTTCCATCCTCCAAGTTTATTCTCATTTATATGCTAATATTTGCAGTTTAAAAAATTTTGTGCTAACATTTCTCAGCATGTTTTATTTTCCCATTATGGATCAATCAGATATTTTTAGGAGGTCTGTAGCTATCTTTTTAAGTAGGAGAATGTTTCTGTACAATCCTTTAAAGTGGTACTAAATGCTTTCATACCTAGACTTGCTGATTTTTAATTGTTTTATATCCCACCATAATACGGTTTCTCAATCTCAGCATTATTGACATTTGGGACAGGTAATTCTTTATCTTGGGATGTTGTACTATGCATTATAGGGTATTTGGCAGCTCTACCTGCTAGCTACCAGTAGCATCCCCCTAGTTGTGGTTAAAAATGTTTCCTAGCCCTGCTAAAGGGCCCCCAGGAGGCAGTATCACCCCCAGTTGAGAACCATTAATGAGACTCTTAGAAGAAAATCGAAGACTCAGCAAATGTAGTGTGTCTATCATGCTCCTTTTCTCTCTGCCTCTTTTTACCTTAGGAAATGGTTGTTAGCAAAAAGAGGTGGTTGTATCTTAAAATAAGTAAGGTTTCTACTTTACTGGTTAGTGAGGCGAAAAAAAGAAAAATCTTATGTTGTAATTGTGTTCTGCTGTTTGTACCCACTCGCATCTGTCCCCATTCCTGCATCCTCTGTGGTCTTAATGAGTGGGTTTATGACTTCAGTATAGGATTAATGTAGTCTGCAGAGCATCTTGATTTGATCTGCCTTTTTGCTTCCTTTTCATCTCTGAACAAAAGAGATGATCACTCTCTTTTATCTGCCTCTGTGTAATATTCCCATCAAACTGGAAGTTCCCCAAAAGCAGAAACCATATCGGGCGCATGGGTGGCTTAGTTGGTTAAGCGACTGCCTTCGGCTCAGGTCATGATCCTCGAGTCCCAGGTTCAAGTCCGCATTGGGCTCCCTGCTCAGCGGGGAGTCTGCTTCTCCCTCTGACCATCCCTCCTCTCATGCTCTCTCTCTCTCATATAAATAAAATCTAAAAAAAAAAAAAAGGCAGAAACCATGTCTACTTCCACAGAACTTAACTCTGTGCCTTCCTATTGATGGGGTGAATTTTTACTTTATAAGCGCAACTCTTTTTGCATATATATTTTATCCTTGATTTATATACATTTGTTGATAAGGAGCAGCTTATATTCGTTGCAAGTAAAATATATTTTGTTGGATTAAGAAGGACAACAGTTGACCCTTGAACAACATGGGTATGAACTGTGCAGGTCCACTTATATGCAGATTTTTTCCATAAATATATGTACCATACTGTGAATGTATTTTCCTTATGATTTTCTTAATAACATTTCCTTTTCTCTAGCTTACTTTACTGTAAGAATACAGTGTATAATGCATACAACATACAGACTATGTGTTAATTGATTGTTTATATTATCAGTAAAGATTCTGGTCAACAATAGGCTTTTAGTAGTTAAGTTTTTGGGGAGTCAAAAATTATATACAGATCTTTGACTGCACAGGGGGTCGGCACTCCTAACCCACATGTTGTTCAATGGTCAGCTTATGAGAGCTAGAATCCTCCTACTGTTTATTTTTAAATTCTTCATATGTTTATGTGTTTCCATATGTATTTGTGTAGAGATACACATCTATAAAGACACATAATTATATCAACTTTCTAAGGTACAGTTGAAGCCTTTCCATTCACCAGTTTTGTGTATTTGACTGCTGACAGCTCACAGATTGAATCTTAAGAACGCCAAACCCTCTGATGTTAGAGAGAAGTAACTTCAGAAACATCCCCTTCTGCAGAGGACTTATACTGGGGACCAGTCTTTAATGAAAAATAATCTAACCCAGGAGTTTGGCAAGAATTTTATAATTTTCTGAAGAGAGGACCCTGGAGTTCTTCAACTTGAAGTGATTCTAGAGTCATCCAGACATAGCCTAGAAGGTTTGAATCTACCCCAAAGGACTCTGAATTCCTTTGGGAAATCTAGATCATGTTTTTCAGTTAGAATTAAAATATACTCTGGACCTACCTGACCCCAGAATCATCTTCTTGCATACCCAATGCCAGGTCATCTGGTTCAAACCAGTCAAAATGGTGACCCCGAGGAAGTCAAGTAGGTGATCCTTGTTTGTTTTTAAGTTTTGGAGCCTCATAGCCATAGATATTTTGGTACCAGCACTGGTTCTAAGTCCCTGGCTATATGGTCACCATATTCCCATGGGACCCTTGCCCTTCGGGTAGTGCAGGAATGATCTTGGGAGTGGGAATGTTAGAGACAGGAACCTGAAGAATCAGATATTTCTGAAATTTTCTGTATGCTATTTCTACTGCCTTTCCCCCCTGTATTATAAATGTGGTTTATTAAAATAAAATGGCTATGTCTGTATAGATATCTATACTCTTTAGAAAATAAATGATGCAAGGTTTCAATTTAAATGAGCCATATCTTCACAAGAAACTTTGAAACTGTTCCAGAGTAGCTGTACCATTTTACATTACAACCAGCAATGTATGAGTGATCTGGTTTCTCCATATCCTCACCAGCATTTGATATCACAATTTTTTATTTAGCTAGTGTGATAGGTGTGAAGTTTTCTCATTGTGGTTTAATTTGCATTTCCCTAATTAATACTGATGTTTAACATCTTTCCATGTGCTTTTTTGCCATCTTTTATCCTCTTCAGTGAAATGTCTGTTCATGTCCATTTGCTAATTTGGGTGTTTGCTGTATGAGCCCTATCTTTACATGAATATCTTTTTTAAAAACTTTTAAAATCACTACGGTGACTTCAGAATTCATCAAGTAGCATTTCTAAATCCTTCTAGGCAAAGTGTGTACAGCACCTGAATGTGATTTTATAATGTACTGAGCAGAAGAGTTCTCACATTCCTTCTGTACTCATTATGTAGTATAGTACTAATACCGTATAACGGCAAAAAAGTTTCAAAGATACTTTTACCTAGAACGTTAAGTAGGGTGTACAAATACGTATTTTGTCCATAGCTATCATAATGCTTGTAATCTCTTTTATTTAAAATAAGCTGACTTGTGTTTCAGAATGATTTTGTGGAAAAATAATTTGAAAATTTCCTATTTGTGCAAGACAGTTAATATATTTTCTAGTTCATATGCATCGGAAAATTCATAATCTTATTTCTCCGATGTTCCTTACAAATTTCATAGTTTTATTAAATCATCATTGAGAACCTAATAAATCAATGTTGAGATCTACAAATACAGTCTAAGATGCACAGCAATAGGAATGGGTATGTGAATTTTTCCCTTAACGTTTTTCTACTTTATTTTTGGATTTGTTTTTTAATTTCACCTGGAAATTCTTATTTAATACTATTTCCTGTTTTGGTTTCTGCACATAAGAAGGTCACAGAGGAATTGGGGCACCTGGCTGGTTCAGTTGGTAGAGCATGCAACTCTTGATCTCAGGGTTGTGAGCTTGAGCCCCATGTTGGGTATAGAGATTACTTAAAAATAAAATCTTAAAAAAATAAAAAAGAGGGTCACAGAGAAATAAGCATGTGGTAACTACAAGATAAATTTGAGCTAAATATGGTTAGAGAAGAAAGGTTTTCTGTAGCCCTGCCTCTTTAGATCCTGTTAGGTTTATCATTCATATTGTACATTCTTGCACAAGGGAAATTACCAGAGCAGAGGGTTAATTCTTTGTGGTGGGAAAAATGATATAATTTGTTGTGAAAGTATACTGTATTTTTAAATACTTAGATTTTAAATAACGAGGACAAATTATTTCAAATACTAACATGATAGAATTAACCTAGCAGTTGTTAAAAATCCCTTCTGAAAATTATCTAAAATTATTTGGGAATCTACAATGAGACAGTAAATGATTTTTTCTATACATATTATGTATTAAGGCCATTTTTATTTAGTATTTCTCTGTTCATAGCTTTGGGTTTGCACACATGCACAGCAGCAACGTCTGGATGGTGAAGGATTCAGTCAGTCTGGATTCCATTCCCTGACCGTAGTGAGGAATGGTATCATTCCAAAGTAGGAAATTTGAAGGATGATAAACATTCACTGATTAGAAGGAAGAGAGGGGTTTTCTTTTAATTTTATTTTAGGTCAAAGTAGTATTAGTCTAAGGAGGATAAGGAAGGCGGGCGTTATGGAGATATGTGGAGATGGCTTTTCTGAAATTCATTTTATAGCAATACTTTTAAAGAATTTTGCAATTGTAAAAAATTGAAGGAAAAAAATGAGGGTAGTAGGGAGTAATAATGGATTTTTTGCTACTTAGAAAAAGAAACAACCCATCAAGAGGTGGAGATTGTGGGGCGGATACATTAGATTTGCTAAATTCCCTTCCCCCTCACCCACCACTAGGGCAAGAATCTTAGCTACTGGATCCCAGGGAATTCTCATATCCTCTAACACAGTCCATGAGGCTCTGGTCCTGTCTCTCCTAGAAAGTCCCGTCTCTGTCAGCATCTCAGCCTCATCACCAAACACTGTCAAGAACTGAGAAGAGTTTGAAATTTTACTCTACTTGGAAACTAAGAAGTTAGCCTCTCACAGTTCCATGGATATTGGCAGAAGATAGGAGACTTCTGGGTCAGAGATGAAGGACTTTATTACTCATAGGCATAGCAAACATCACAATCTTCATATTTGCAGTGGTTTCCTGTGCTTCTCAACTCCTCCATGGAGCAGTCCAGGTTGATGCTGTGCACTCAGTGAGTCTGTGGTTACGGCGCAGGAATCTCAAGCTTAGGAAACTTAAGTCTGTTGTAATGAGCTGCA